GAAGGACATCTAAAGTATTTAATCAAATTTATTTTCTTTTTGAAATTTTAATGCATAATATTACTAAAACACAATTTTCTTAGACAGGAAGGAATTTTAATGAATTAATTGCTTCTTTTTAATTACTTTGGTACTTTTTAATATCTTCAAATTGTATCCTTTTCAATATTAAAACTTCTTAGTGAAATTGTTCTTGAATGAATTCAGCTCAAAATTGAATGAAATAATTCTTTTCTCTTAATTTGCACATCAACAATAAAAATAGCAGTAATTTCCTGAAAAAGTAATTTATTTAATTGTCCCTTTGCGAAACAAAAATAGCGCATTAACAGCACTACGAGTTCGAGAACACAATGAGCACGCAATTCAATATTCCACATCTCAGCTTCACAGGCGCAAGTGTCTAAAACACGTAGCAGGCATCCTTTATCCTTCAAACACAACTCCTTTTACGCACCAAACGAATACACTCAAAGGAATTTAACCCCTAATGTAACCTGTACAAATTACGATTACAACTCGGTTTCGTTGGTTTCCGCCTTCAGGTACTTTGCTGCGTCTTGCTGGTGGAGCTTATTTTAAATGGCTTCATCATTAAATTAACGTTAAACAAGCGTGCCTTTCCTTGCCTGCCTACCCGGTAAGTGAAAATCTCAAAGATTTTGTGGTGTTTGTTTCGCGTTAATGTGCAATAAAATTCGTTATGTGCTTTGTCTTGTGAATCATTAAAGGAAACCCACTACTAAATTGGGCTCCTATCATGCAATTCATTTTACTTCAAATTGTATCTCCTATTTTTCTATAATCAAAATACCCGTATTTATAGCATATTATAAAACCATAAAAATATATTGCACTCTCTCTCCAAAGGTCAGTAGATTTAAAAACTGCTAACAAAAGACTGATTCATCATATATAACATATTAAGCTTTTAATTTTACGTTGTTTGCTTTATTTTCAAGACAGGTATTAATAAAGGGTTAAAATGTTTAAATCTCATTACTTATTTTATTGTTCATAAACAAAAAGAAATAGAGAAGCATGGTTCCGGTTACAGTACCAAAATTTCTATAGCCTTATTGCCACAGAGAAGAAAGCAATTCAATAGCGAGTAAACATATATAGCCAAAATAAGAACAAAATATATTGCACAAATGAAAAAAAAAATTTGGATGCACAGAAAAAACTTGATCATCCTATAAGTACAAACTGCGGAACCTTTAATATTGAAATATTCTTATATTCATAGCATTGATCTCTGCTAGCAATAGTAGTTTTGTTAACACTGAATACTGAGATAAGATTGGTTTATAGTCTCTGCATACACAAACTCTTCAACCAATCTATATAATCCATCAAACTTATCCGCAAGTTTCAACTATGAAACTTTTATCATAGAACTCTTCTTATATAGAATTGGTCTCTGCCTCCAATATTGGATCCGTTAAAGCTGAACATTGAGATGAGATTGATTTATAATTTCTACACAAACTAATCCAAATAATCCGCATAATCCATCAAACTTATCCGCAAGTTTCAACTATGAAACCTTTATCATAGAAATCTTCTTATATAGAATTGGTCTCTGCTACCAATATTGGATCCGTTAAAGCTGAACATTGAGATGAGATTGCTTTATGGTTTCTACACAAACTTATCAGAATGGCAGACTGAAAAAAATATGGGAGAAACTGTCTGACATTGAAATTAATATTTTGTATGTTCTATACCCGAAATAGAACATAATTAAATGAAATTATACAGGCATATATTTACTATTTGTAGATAAAATTAATGTACTCGTAAGTGCGGAATACTAACTAAAAGAGTACCAATCAGACATCCACAAAGAGAGTACAGTTCGGATCAAATATTCGTTGTTGCACAGGTTGCTGACAAATGCTTAAAACCTTATATAGACCCATTACTGATCAATATGACAGAAGATATAACAAAAAGTACAAATATTAGTACATGATAAGTAGACTAAAACCAATTATCGAAAGTAATTATAGAAAACTGTACTACAAGCTTAGATTATCTACGGTCTGCAGTCTCGGGATCACTCCTACTTTCTTGCAATTACGATGGCGGTAATAAAGTCATTATTAAATGATAATTTCTAAATTATTTTTGAGTACTCAAACCAACTATATAATGGTAGTGATACAATCAACATTATTATCTAATTTTTAACTCAATGTTTAATTACAATATTTCCAACTGATCATCAACTGTCTTACAATAATATTACCATGGTATAAATATATTTCCGTTTATGGTTTGCGTCCAAAAACTTAATTTTAGATAAATATGTTATATAAATACCGAAAGCAAAGAGAAGCTATTAAAGTTCTTAAATATCATCAACTGATATCAAAACTGGTTAAGGGGTGCTTAACAAAACTCAACATAGTGATTTAAAATAATAAAATATGGATTCTATAAGAAATTTTGGGGTCGACGACAATGATGTGCTAGCAAAGAAAGAAGCGGGATAGTCTTTTGTGGTCCAACCACCTTTCTTTGGCATAGTAAAGAGTAACATTTCTCCACTTATTTGAAAAGAAGAAGAAAAACAAAAAAGATTATACTGAGAAAACTAGCAGGTCTACCACATTATTAATCAAGAACCTAAAGCCTAAGTTAATATAAGAAATGTCTGAACTCAATAAAACTAATTTGAGAATCACAACATGAATTCAAGCAGGACATTGTAAGTTGATCCACCACTTAAATAAACTGAGAATTGTCTCCGATGGAATTCTTAGGTTCTGCAAAGAGCAGTAGAAGATCGCTACGCATGTACTGGTGAGTTGTTCTGCTCAAATACTTAAACAAAAGAAGGTTTTAGATGCATACTCAACATCTGATGATGAACTGAAATATTTAAAAATATAAATATACTAATATTTATTGAAGAGATTAAATTTAATCAATCACTCTGTTCAAGTAAGGGGCACAATAGGTATGCAATATCTTCTCTATATATTGATATTGAAATAAATAACATGCTTTGAAAATTTAGGATTAATATGCAGTAAAAAAAAATTAAGCACTTGTTTTCATTTAAAATTGAATAAACAAATATTTTATATATTTACTAATTCCTAATCCTATTAAGATTAAGAATAATTTAATACGATTAAATACTTTTATATTATTGTACAGATTATTTTAATTGTTTCTTTAACAGTGTGGATTTTAATGATATTATTTGTTTTATAGATATTTATAAATTTAATATTAACAACAACCCTTACTATTTGAAATAAGTATATAATTATTTTGATAATATACTATACATACAATATGTAATATACGAATTGCCCAATTCCCAATGCGTAAATTAATAATAAATATTTGCTATCTATTTTCAACAACCATTCAAATTGAAATTTTCTTCTTTTTAAAAACAAAAAATTATTTTTCTCGAAAATAGGTTGGAAATGGTTTTCTGTAAGTCAGTGATGTGTAAAACTGACAATTTTTAAAGCGAAAATATCGCCTTGGGTCAATGCACATTTATTTATTTTAAATTGATGGGATATTCAAGATAATTGTTTTCCTTTTCGACTTAAAAGAAAAAATATATTTTGAAGAGCCTTTTTCCACATTAACGCAATTGGTGGCAACTCATTTTCTTCGCATTTAGTTTAGAAGGGTCTAACCATGGAAAATGAAGTGTGAATCACGGGGTTGATTTGTTAGGATTATTGTTTAAAATAACTTCTTGGTTTGAGTCAATTGCGGTTGTTATTTGTTTGTTTACTAATATTATTCTTATTGTGTTTTATATCAATTTTTTAATTTTATTTCCCTTTCGATACTTTTCACATTTAATCTTATTTTAATCTAAAAAGTTCTTTCTAAACGTATAACGCAAATAACTTCTTAATATATTTTTAAACATAATGCTGATAAGAAAAAACAATATCCATTTTTCTTCCTACACTACTAATGCTATGAAATATGTAAGTTAAATTATGTGTGATTATCAAAATGTACTAAGGATAAATTAATAAACGGATTAAAAATCAAAAAGGCGTTACCATTTATTAAATTTAGCGAATTCGTATATCTTACTTTCTTACTCAGAATGGTTTTGATGGAAATGGATTTGTAGATGTACATATGTTACGGGTACCTCTGACATAGGAACCTTCATCCGATATCTATTAGTAGGCATTGGTAATAATATACTACTGTTATCAAAAATTAATATTAAATTTTTGTCAATTCTGCATTTGTCCAATAGTTACGTGTTACCTATATGAACAACAAAAAGTTGATTTATCAATATCTTTTAATCAAATAAATTGCATTAACTAAAATGTATTAAATAAAGTTCACGTAATGAAATTTCTGCTGGAAAAACATTGAAAATCTTACAAAAGGCCTTCGGTGCTCAGGTTATATCGCAAATGGTACAAACAACATCTCGTCAAAGAGATTTGAGGCTTAAAAATTGACAACTGTTATACTGTTATTGTTACTGTTAAAACATAATTTAGATCAGTCTAGATTATTTTAAAGACGTTATGCAACTGAAAAGGGTAAAATAATATTTGATATCAAAAACACTCAACTTTTTTTAGAAAATCTTTACGTTAAAATCTATCAAATATTGATTCCTCACTGCAAACTATGCATACGATCCGGAAACAACAAACTAATCAAGCGAAACCCACCAAAAATATGAGTTAAGACCAAAAAGTTGCGTCAAAGTCGTTCAAAAATTAATGTCTTACTAAAAATTTTCTTGGATTATCGTGGTTTATGTGACTCCGGGCTAATCCCTAAACACAAGACACCACTCCTGGGATACCATTTTTACACGATTGAGGATTCGATTTTATTGATTGCTATGCGCTAGGAAGGACATTCCAAAAATCGACTTTAACATACGTTTATAAAATAAAGAGATGAAATAAAAAAGCAAAAAGTCATTTTTTAATATATTTTGATCAATTTATTTAAATTGTTTAAATAATCTTTAATTGCTGTTTCCCTTTCATTGGAGTCAACCAAGATATAGAAAATTTTTTGCAAATCCACTGTCCAGACAGTGGTCGACAGTCGAACTAAAAAAAATTATTTGCAATACATACTATATAAAAATTGATAACTTTACCTACTGAAACCAAAAATTCAATATAAATAAATTAATTCAGACTTTTGAATAAATATTTTCGGCACGATTCTATGGAATGACGCTTTAGGTAAAGTAGTTTTGAGAATGGTTTGGTACATTGATGACACACGTGTTTCCAGTCATGGTGACCTCTCATTCGTTGATGAGCCCTCAAATTTGAGCTTCAAACATTAACACAAAAAAAGAAAAAAATTATAATGTTAATATTAAATACCATAGTTTCAAATAATAGATACGAAGTAAAAAAATTATTCAACTAAAAAATTTTATATTAAAATGTTTAAAATCAATGCAAAATTAAAATTGATATGCATTAATTTTTGTTCAACTTTCATTACTTCTATTGAAAGCTGTTATAACTTAAAGTAAATGCAAATTTTTACCGATCACTGTAGCGTCTTGCACAGGTATCTTCAGGACACCTAAACGGTTTTTCCCCAGTATGCATTCTAATATGCCCAAGTAAAACCCAATTACGACTAAACTGCTTAAAACATTTTGGACATTTATAGACACCATTTTCTTTTATTGGCTCATATTCTGTGTCCACCCATCTTTTTGGTTTTATTACTTTTACAATCTTCTTTTTAGGGACATTTTTTAGCTTTTCAAGAATTAGAGCGTTGAGATTATTTGCAGATCTAGTTCTGTCATTTATGGAAACTTTGCCAGCTGAATTCATCTTTCCTTTTGCCACTGCAGCAAATTAACAATTAATACAAATGATATCTGAATGAACTTCTATAAATATATTTATTACTTACCAACTCCTGTGAGCTTAGAAGTTTCTAATAATTCATTATCCGAATTATCTACACTTACATCAGTAGTCTCAGAATCGGAAGAATTTGTTCCCATTTTTCTGCATTTTTTATTCCATAGTAATTTCATTC